CAGTGGTGGGAGACTGGCAGGTGGGTCCCATGGAGTAGCCCCAGGAGTACCACCAACTGTAGGAGGTAGTGTTTCAGAGCCATTTCGGACCGTTGCATCAGTGACCTTGCTCCCCTCTCCCCCTGCAGGGCTGTGCAATAGCCAAGCAGCTGGGTGCAGAAATCTACCTGGAAGGTTCAGCTTTCACCTCAGAGAAGAGCATCCATAGCATCTTCCGGACGGCATCCACGGTGTGTCTGAACAAGCCCAGCCCTGTACCCCCGAAGAGCCCTGTCCGAAGCCTCTCCAAGCGACTGCTCCACCTCCCCAGTCGTTCTGAACTCATCTCTTCTACCTTCAAGAAGGAAAAGGCCAAAAGCTGTTCCATTATGTGAAGTGGGGGTTGTAGAGGGGAGATGACCTCCCACTTCCTCCCTTGGGTTGCAGAGGCACGGGGAGAGGGAGGATGAGACAATTTAGGACACTGGACAATGAGTTTTTCAGATGGCCATGGTGGGGGCTTGGAAGGAGACAAGAATGGGACAAGGAAAGAGCCAGGCCCAGCTTGAGGACCTGACACTGAGAAAGAACCATCACACCCTAAGCCAGGCCCTAGGTGGTGGAGGGGCGGCGGCCCCAGTGCCCCCCTCTCCAGAGGGAGGAAAGGTATGGGGGTGTGGGGGGCATGCTGGCCTCATGGGCTCAGGGGCCTATAGGAGCCTCACCTTCAACATCATGCCTCTTCTACCCAGCGTTTCCATGCAGGCCAGGGGGTGGGAGGGGTGTCTGAGCCCTTCCCTTCCCCTCTGAGGAGGCCACCGAGGAGTGGAGAGTGGGGAAGCCATGAGGCAGCTCCCTTGGGAGCTGAGCCCAGGTGCTTCACAACTGAAACCAGAAGGGCAGGAGCTGGTCAGAGCCAATGAGAAGGAAACCTCATCTTTGCATAGCCCATGCCTCACGGAGAGGTGACATCACACATTCACATGCTTCTCGCCTCAGTCCCCAGGGTCCAAGGGAGAAGCCCCAGACCCCCTTCTCTTGCAGTGTGGGGGTGGTGGTGCTGCAGGAGGCAGGGCTGGGTGGGGGTCACCAGACTTTTTCTGCCCTTAGGGCAGTACAGCTGGCATTTGTTTTATAGACTCTTGTCTTTGGAATGGGGGGAGGGGGGAGTGTTTCAATCTGTTACATGTTCTGTGTTTAAAGAAGAAAACCTATTTATTAATGAAAAATATAACATGTATAAAGAAGTTGGCTCTGTTTTCTTATTTTTTCCCCATTTCCTCTAGCCATTGGTAATGAGGAAAAAGCTGCCCCAGGGCCCATTCTGTCGGTTGCAAGATTGGTTGCCCCTACTGTTCCCTGGCCCCTCCAACAAGGGTCTGCTCCCTCTACTCCCAACCCCACCCAAGTCCTACTAAGCCAATGAAGATCTCCTTAGCCCAGGAGCAGGGTTTCTCAAACTTGCAACTAACAGCAAGTTAGACTAGACCATGTTTTGTTGTGGGAGCTGTCCTGTACATTGGAGGTTCACAACACTCCTTTCCTCTACCTCCTAAATGTCAGTAGCTCTACTCACCCCAGTTGTCACAATCAGCATGTTTATAAGTATTGTTAAATGTCCCCTGGGGCAAAACCACTTCTGGTTGAGAACCATTGCCCTAGAAAGTCTAGAGGAGAGAGACAGATTTGGTGAAATCAGAGGATCCAGGCTGCTGAGATCCCAACCCCTGCAGGTCGACAGGCTGAAGCCAAGTTTGGGAGGTTCCTGGAGTTCCAGTCTCTGAGCTCAGAGAGGGATGTCTTCTTTTCTTTTCTTTTCTTTTCATTTCTTTCTTTTTTCTTTTTTTCTTTCGATTTTATTGATTTATTTTTTTAGAGAGGGTAAGGGAAGGAGAAAGAGAGGGAGGAAAACATCAATGTGTGGTCACCTCTCACCCACCCACTACTAGGGACCTGGCCAGCATCCCAGGCGTGTGCCTTGCCTGGGAATTGAATCAATGACCCTTTGGTTTGCAGGCCAGCACTCAACCACTGAGCCACACCAGCCAGAGCTCTTCTGCTTTCTTTTTTTAAAGAAGATTTTTATTTATTCATTTTTAGAGAGGGAAAGAGAAGGAGAAAGAGAGGGAGAGATATATCAATGTGTGGTTGCCTCTCAGTGCCCTGTACTGGGGACCTGGCCAGCGACCCAGGCATATGCCCTGACTAGGAATCAACCTGTCAACCCTTTGGTTCGCAGCCTGTGCTCAGTCCATTGAGCTATATCAGTCAAGGCTCTTCTGCTTTCTTGACCTTCCAATTCCATTGCCTGTTGGTGGCAACTGAGGGGCCTTAAATTCCCTTCTCTTCAGTGACTTATAGCTCTTTTTTCAAAGTTTCATAGTGTGCTGGAAATAGCGACCTACTAGGTATTTAGTATTCACTGTGTGCTCAGCACCATTAGCTTTACCAACACTATTATATTTAACCTCATGAATGATAACAGCTAATGTTTGTTAAATGTTTACTCTGAGGCAGAGATGTTTATGAGTTCTTTATGTTATTTATTCCTATGGAGTAGGAATAATAACTATCTGCCTCATTTTACAGACAAGAAAACTGCGATTCAGAGAGATTAGTTAACGTGCCCAAGGTCACAACCAGAAAGTAGTAGAACCTGAATGGAAATCCAGGCAACCTGGTTCTAGAACATGCACTTTTCACTGCTCTGCTATCCTACCCTGTGAGGCAAGTCACATTATTATCCCTATTTTATAAATGAGGAGATAGAAAAACCAGAGATGCCACATAACTTTGCACTAGATCATACTGCTTGTATATAGTGGAATCAAGATTCAAACTTAGTCTCAAAAACAAATACAAATCTTTAATTAAAAAAAGAAATATTGTCCTGGCTGGTGTGTCTCAGTGGGTTGGGCATCATCCTGCAGACTGAGGTGTCCCTGATTTGATTTCCAGGTGGGGCACATGCCTGGGTTGCAGGCCAGGTCCCTGGTAGGGGGCGTGTGAGAGGCAACCACACTTTGATGTTTCTCTCCCTCTCTTTCTCTCTCCCTCCCCCTCTCTCTATAAGTAAAGATAAACAAATAGATAAAGAAACAAACAAATAAAATCTTTCACAAAATAGACATCAACATTAACTATAATTCCGTGGGTCCATTACTGCTAGTCATGTTGTACCTAAAAAGAAGACTTTACCTCTGGTTCTTACTAGAACATAGTCCCGCTGTCTCCATCTTCAAAGATGCATGTTTGCAAAAAAAAGCCCCCAAAGCCCCCACAAACAAACAAACAAACAAACAAACCCTAGCAGGCTAAGACACACAGTATCTTTTATGTTCAATGCTTTACATGTGTCATTCATGAGAGCGGTGTGTACAAGTACTAGGGGAACTCTGCCATTATGAACTTGAACAAGCTTCACTACTACTTTGGGTTCCAATTTACCCATTCTTAAAGATGATGACGGCGCTGACCCAATAGCTTAGTTGGTAAGAGTGTTGGCCCATGCCAAGGTTGTAGGTGGGATCCCTGGTCAGGCCACATGCAAGTTGTAACCAATGAATGCATACATGGGTGGAAGAAAGAATTGATGTTTCTCCTTCTCTCTCTTTAAAAAACAATCAATAAAAAATTAAAAGATTATGATGAATGGTAATCTGAAAATAGGGAAAGAGCATGGACTCTGAAGTTGAATCCTGGCTTCATTCTTTTAACTCCCGGTATGTGGCCTTTGAGGCATAATCAACTTTTCTGGGACACAATCTTATCAGTATAATGGAGATAATGCCCACCTCATACTGTTATTAGAACCCAGTAAAATAAGTAACGGAAGTTAAGTGTCCATCTCAGAGTTGGGCACTTTGAAGATATTCAGCTCTTAAAGGTTCCAGTCTACAGCTTTGATGTTAGTTGGGGTTCCATTCTGTGAGTGGAGAGCCCTCCAGTGTTCACTGGGTGAATTACACATAGTGGAGCTATGACTACTTTCCCTTCCGTTGTGTCTTTGGGTTAGAAGCGGAGTCAAAGGTTGCAGAATCAGAACAGAAGGGTGGGTACCTCTCCCGGGAGCGCTTTGGGCATAGTACGTGGTGTTCAGGGATTTACGATTATTTGGGTTTATCTGAAGCTCTGAGGGGAACTGAACATATATTCAGAAAAAAAGGCAGACTTACAGCCATATGGGATTGAAATTAAAAAGTTGATCATGGAAAAATGGGAAGGAAGGAGGCATTGCTACTTTCGGGTATCTATTGAAATTCATCCTAGAAGTTGCAACGTTTTTGTTTTGGCGCGGGGTTGAGGGGAGAACTATGAATGATAAGACCAAAGAAAAACAAAGTGAACATACAATTTGGGGTAAAAAAAGAAAAGGCTCAGTGGAGGACTGAAGAGGAGGAAAATATGAGGAAAAAAGAAGCTACTATATGAAGGTAGTCCAATACACACCAGATTCCAAAGGGTAAGAAAATGAGGACGCCAGAGTCCTAACTGGAGTGTTGAGAAAACGGGTGCAACTGCCCAGGAGACACCATCGTTCCTGGAAGCTTTTGGAATCCGTTGTATGGCCTCATTTTGAGTTGTCACAATAACTGGGGATTGTTATCGTGGGTTGCTAGAATGTCCTCCTAAACCTGGGATAGTCCTGCACAATGAATAGTCCCACCTTCATTGTGAAATACTCTGCTACACCTGTAACCACCAATAAAAAAAGGACTAATAATTCATCACCCCCCCAAAAAGTGTTTTTTTGTAAAAACGTTTTTCCAAAAAATGGATGTAAGCCACAAGCCATTACAGTCGTTAATTGCAATTTCTAGGAAGACCATCATATTCCGAGGTGATTGCACCGGGAGAGTACTTTTTGCAGGAAGTCTACCCACGGAAAACGCCTCCTCCGCCAGAGTCAAATGTTTTGCGAACTACATTGCCCAGCAGACCTACCGGCCTGGGGTTGGCGCTTGCACCATGAATTCTGGGATTGGTAGTTCTCAGGTTCTCCTTGTTGGCCAGGGCAGCCCGGCATCAGGAACTCGCTTTCCCAGCTCGCCGCGCGCTCCTGGGGGTTGCATCTCGGCGACCAGGAAAAGGGAAAGATGGCGACTGCTCGGCGACGTTGAGGCCGCGTTGGGCGGTTCAAACTCAGAGTGGTGAGTGATGGGCGACGGAGGCGGTTCCCACAAGTTTGTTCAGAGGGGGAGAGTGTAGGCAGGCGGTGGCCCCTGCCTCCGGGACCAGGCGGGGAAGAATGCCTCCGGGAAGGGGCACGAGCCCGGAAAGCTGTAGCCGTCAGGAGCCAAGGGGAGTGGGCCCCAGCGGGTGGTGTTGGCTCCTGGGAGCACAGGCCAGGTCTCTGGAAGATGTTACAGAGCAGACCTTTCCCTCTGGCACAGCACCTGTGATATCCCCAGTGTGACCTTATTCTTTCTTGTTTTCAGTAGCCCTTGCTCCAGCCAAACTAGAACTCAGGCTTGTCTTCCAGAACCAGTCCTGCTTTCCCGCCTCTGCCCCTCCTCCTCTATTATTTTGCTGGGAATGACTTATTTTCCGCACTCTCAGCTACACATCTTTAAATTCTACTATACTTAAGCGCGCAAGAGCCACTTCCTCTGCAGATCTCACAAATGAAAGGGAACTTCTTTGAACTGATGTAAGAAATACTTCATCTGAGTCTTCATCTTGGTATGCGTGTCATACCCTCTCCTGTTCTGTAAACGTCCTGTGGACAGAGTCTTCCTGACTTCCTTCTGTAACTCACGCAGTACCTAGCACGGTTCCTTGCAAATAGTGGATGTTTGACACAAACTTCAAAACATGAATGTGCCCCTGCCCAACAAGAACTGAGGAGCTCGAAGATCTGGAGTCTTTCAAGGAAGGCTACTGGGAAGCAATGTCTGGGGTGTGCCTGTGATGAGTAGAACTTAAAATAAAAGTTACCTCTGTTTACTATATTCTCATTTCTCATTCTCTTCTCAACTCACTCCACTCAGACTTTAAACAGCTCTTATCAAGGTTACCAACCATCTCCATTGTCCCAAAAGCAAGGATCACTACACCTCTGGCTCCTAGTCTTACTCCATGGACACAGTGAACCACTCCCTCCCTGAAATGCGTTTTGGCTTCTGTGATTTCCAGATCATGGAAATCACATTTTTCCTCCTTTCTTTTACTTTACTTTTTTTCCTTTTTCTTCTTCTTTCTCACTTGGCTTTAGCTTCTTTCCATCTTTCCCTGTGGCTCCTCCTGTGCTTGACCTCTAAATGTCACAACGTTCCAGAGCTCAGTCGTGCATGCTGTTCATTCTTTTCTTGATTGTTTTTCTTTTTTAACCATACTGCCTACCTAAGTAATATAATTTCGTGTCCTATGGCTTTAAAAGCTTTCTCTGTATTGATGACTCAAATTTTTGTCTCTAGGGTCTCTCTTCTGAATTCCAGAATTGCATTTTCAACTGTCTTCCTGCAGTCTCCACTAGGTTTTCTTATTGACATGGCCAAAATGAAACTTGATTTCCTCCCAAATCTCTTTTCCCCCAGTCTTCTTCAGTCACTAATGGCACCATGAACCACTAGGTTGCTCAAACCATAAATTTAGGAGCTGTCTTTGTGTCCCCTCTCCTTTTTTCCTTTTATAGTAAGTTTTGTCAGCCCTGCTTCCAAAGTGTACCCTGAAGCTGTCTACTTCTTTCCATCTCCATTGCTACTTTCTCAGAACAGGCCACTGTCACCTCTTGCCCAGACTACTATAATAGCATTCTCAGTGGCTCTGTTTCCATTCTTGACCTCCTTACTATGGAGTTTCTTGCAAGTCACCAAAGTGATTCTTTAAAAATGTAAAAGTAGATCACATCACTTCCTGTTTAACATTCTAATGTTCCCATGGTGGTTAGATTAAAATCCAAATTCCTTTACCCTGGCCTAAAACATATTTTCACGATTAACTCCTACCTACCTCTTTGAAATCTTGAATCAGTCTTCTCCCCTGGTCACTGCCCCTCAGCCACACAAGCCTGTTTTTAATTGGCAAACACAGTAAGCTAGTTCCTGCCCAGTGCCTTAGTACTTGCTTCTACCTAGTAAGTTCTTTTCCCTGATTTTTGCAGGCTCTCTTTCCCATTCTTCAAATCGCAGCTTATATGTTGTCTAAAAATTTCTTTCCTGAGCTTTCTTGTCTCTTGTTCATACTCCTCTCCATTATATTACTCTTTCTTTTTTATTTTTAAAAAGTTTTTTAAAAATTTTATTTTTAAAGAGAGGGGAAGGGAGAGAGAAAGAAGGGGAAACATCGATGTGCAAGAGAAATCTATTGGTCACCTCTTGCACACCCCCAGCTGGGGACCTGACCTGCACTCAGGCATTGGCCCTGACTGGGAATTAAACCAGAAACCTTTCTGTTTGCAGGCTGGTGCTCAGTCCACTGAGCCACACAGCTAGGGCTCACTCTGTTTTATTCATTAGTTCTAATTACTATTTGAAATTCTCGTCTTACTGCTTAGCTGTTGTCTGCTTCATTGGAATGTAAATGTTGGAGACCTGAGACTTTGTTTTGTTTACAGGTACATCTCCAGTACACAGAACAGTTTCTGGCACCTACCAGGTGCTCAATGAATATTTATTGAAAGAATTCATGATGTCTGGGATGCTTTACAGAGAAAATAGCCTTCCTTCTAGAGTGTTTTCTTTTTTTATATAAGTTTTTAATTTTTATTTTATTTATTTATTTCTAGAGAGAGGGGAAGGGAGGGAGGAAGAGAGAGAGAGAAACATCAATGTGTGAGAGATACCATACACTGATTGGTTTCCTCTCACACGCCCCGCAGCTGGGGACCTGGCCCGCAACCCAGGCATGTGCCCTGACTGGGAATTGAACCACAGACTTTCCGGTTCAAAGACTGGCACCAAATCCACTGAGCCACACCAGCCAGAGCTAGTGTGTTTTCTTAGGGCTGCACACGGAGGAGATATCAGTATAATCTCCATGTGGCAATGCATGATATACTGATACAGAACATTATTCAGTCATTTCTCAGGCAATTGTGAGATAAAATGTGTTGTTTCTCTACCTTTTGAAAGTGCTACTTGTTTCTTTTGATTACAAGTTCTCCTTTCTTAAAGATATATGGCAGGAAATGACATGGGAAAGGGGGATTGCAAAGTAAAGCTTAATGTACTGATATTCTAGCTGAACCACTTGGGGATAAAATAAGTTCTGAAAAATGTATGCCAGGTGATAGGGATGGTGATGACGATGATGATGATGCCAGAGAGGCAGACTCAGACTTGCTGCTGTTTCAGCAAATGAAGCTGAGTAGATTCTGTGGTCTGAAAGATAGCTGACAGTGTGTTCAGTGTTTCCCAGGCAAGAGGGAGCAGGACAAGTTTCTGCTCACACCTTTCATGGAACTGAGTGATGATCAAGACGGTGAAAATCTGAGTGGGGAGTGTTGGTCCGAATGTGTGCACACTGCAGTTGTTGGAATCTACCTTTCTTTTTCTGAAATGATTATAGATTCATAGGGAGTTGCAAAAAAAGAAAAATGTTCACGGAGGTCCTGTGTACCCTTCACCAGTTTTTTCCCGTTGCATGACCAGTGGTGCCTTTCTGCTTGTCCCTTTTAGTTTTTCTTGGAGTGCAGATTATAATACCAAGTCTCAAAGTACTCCCCGCCCCCACCCTTGAGCTTTCTTTATGAGTTTCAGAGACTTTATCTCGCCTCAGTGTGTGCGTGCACCGACTGACCCGGGGGCCGGCAGACCTGGCAGACTCCTCAGATGCGCGGTGCAGGCTGTTTCTAGAGATGGGTAGCGCGCTATTCACTCAGTAACATATCTTTTCATACTTTTGCAGGCTAATTAGAAAAATAAGGAATATTCATTGTATACATTGTAGAACTGAGAATATATAAAAAGTAATCACAGAAGGGCAGTGTTGTATAATGAGTAAGAGTGGGCCTCTGGAGCCAGGCCGCCTGGAGCTCTGCCACTTACCACCGCCATGTCCTTAGGAAGTTACTTTATATACCTGCGCTTCAGTTTCCACATCTATAAAGGAGCCATAGCAAAGTATCTACCTCATAGGGTCGTTTTGAGATTAAGTCCATTATATATGAACAGTTTAGAGTAGCATCTAGTACATAATAATTACTCCTCTTACCCATGGCAGATGGCAGGAGAGCTAGCTGATAAGAAGGACCGTGATGCGTCACCTTCCAAGGAGGAAAGGAAGCGGTCCCGGACACCTGAGAGAGAGCGGGACAGAGACCGGGACCGGAAACCTTCCCCATCCAAAGACAGGAAGCGGCATCGCTCAAGGGATCGGCGTCGAGGCGGCAGCCGATCTCGCTCCCGCTCCCGGTCCAAGTCCACGGAAAGGTGAAGTGACTGCGTGTCTGTTATGCAGGAAGGGGGTGCGTTTCAGACTTCCTCATTCTTGGTTCCTCTCATACCTTCAGGACTAAGACATCGGTGTTCCCCACATATCTCTACACCTAGTGATTTTTAGCTTAAACAGTTAAGAGTGAATTTACAAGATGAAGGTCCAGCAATGGTCGATTATTGCCGTTAATACTTAGCAGTACAACTCTGAGCTGTAAGATCTTAGGATCCCCTCATACTTCCCCCAAGAAACATATTCCACAACTTTAAAATTCATTTTGGGGAGAAAAGGTCAGACCCTGGCTGGGTGGCTCAGTTGGTTAGAGCATCATCCTGATAAGCAGTTCGCTCTCTGGTCAGGGCACATACACACATCAGCCAGTGAGTACATAAGTAAGTGGGACAACAAATTGATGTCTCTTTCTCTATAAAAACCAATAAGTTAAAAAAAAAAGATCATGAGAACCTCCTTAGGGCTGCAGTGAAGTGGGTTACTGTGGAATATCAAGAGATTTCTTAAATCCATTGCCTTCAGAGAACGACGGCACAGAGAACGAGATAAGGAGCGGGATCGGAATAAGAAGGACCGAGATCGGGACAAGGACGGGCACAGGCGGGACAAGGACCGGAAACGATCTAGGTACCTGAGGAAGTGAGGGGGGCTTTGGGGAAGTGCTCCTGTCTCCTCCTCTCTGCACCTGAGCTGGTTCAGCTTTGTAGAAAAGTAGAATTGTCTGGGTGGACCCAAGTGGTAGTTAGCTGTCTTTTTTAGGGGGCATGTGCCTTTAAAAAGTATATTCAGTTAGTGAGGTCATAACCCCTGAGGGCTGGCTTGTTCTTAGAATTTAGAAGTTAATGTGGAAAGGTTGCTAGCCTACACGCCAATCCTTTAGGTCCACTGAACCGTTTAGTTTTCTACCCAGAATACGAAGTGTTTATTTGTTGGGAGAGCTTAATGGCTCAGTATTGGAATGTTTTTCTTCTGGAAATTTTCTATTCAACTTTTTATTTGGCCCTGAGTGTATAGTTGAAATTCAGGACAAAGGGCACAATTCGTATAACAAACACAGGTGGAGTTGTTCAGATCCCTTGGAGGTTAGGCTTACAGCAGGTGTGAAGAGAGGATTGACGGGACTCGCAGGGTGGAGAACGAGGAGGGGACAGACAGCAGTATCTGGGGAGTGGGTGTGTGGGTGGCCGTGCAGGCTAAATTCATCGTGTGTTACAGAGCAGGATTTTTTTACTTCGATGTGCAATTGCTGTCTGGAGAAAATACTTCTGATGTCAATAGTGAAGACTCACTTGCTACGAGAAATTAGTTTTAGAAAAGGAGATTGCGTAGATTGGGACCAAGACAGGGCTGTCGTGAGGTTTCCGAGCAGGCAGAGCGACCCTGCCTGCAAAGGGAGCTCTGGCCCTGACGGGTAACTGTGGGCCAGTCTTGCTGAGTCATGGGGAATCGTCCCTCCTCTTTTTGGGGTCAGCCTGTACCTCATTTAGCGGTTGGGGTAAGACAGTAGCAATATGGACCCTTTCTGTTCCTTTGTCTTAAAGTTTATCTCCTGGACGAGGGAAAGATTTTAAATCCCGAAAAGACAGAGACTCTAAGAAGGATGAAGAGGATGAACATGGTGATAAAAAGCCTAAGGTAAGCAAGAGGAATTGTTTTCTCATCTTACTCTTGAATTCAAGCCCCAGTTTGTGATCTTCAAAGGGTGAGAGCCTTCATGGAATGAAGTCCTGTGTTTGATCTGCAGGCCCAGCCGTTATCCCTGGAGGAACTTCTGGCCAAGAAAAAGGCTGAGGAAGAAGCTGAGGCAAAAGTAAGCATTTGAGGTTCTGTACTAGCCGGCTTGGGCCGCCCTAAGAAAACAGCAGCCTGGGTGACTTAAACAACAGAGATGTAGTTTCTCACCATTCTGGAGGCCTGTTGTCTGAGATCAAGGTGACAGTAGGGTCGTCTCTCCTGAAGCCTCTCTCCTTGGTTTGTAGATGGACGTCTTCTCCATCTTCACATGGTCTTCTCCCTGTGCGTGCGCATCCCCAGTGTGTATCTGTGTCCAAGTTTTTTCTTACAAGGACACCAGTCAGGTTGGATTAGGGCCTGTTCTGAGAATCTCGTTTTACCTTAAATACCTCTTTAAAGGCCCTGTCTCCAAATTCAGTCACATTTTGAGGTACTGGGGGTTAGGGCTTTCATATATGCATTTTTAAGGGGACACAGTTCAGCGCATAACGGGATCCTAGGCCTGTTTGTGTTTTTCTTAGCAGGTTTAATCCCTGAGCAAGTATTTTTGGGCTCCCTGCTGTCTCGCATCAGTGATGTGATTATACCCTGCTTCCAGATCCTCTGTTTACAGTGTCCATCTATTTTGTAGCCCAAGTTCCTCTCTAAAGCAGAGCGAGAGGCTGAGGCCCTGAAGCGACGGCAGCAGGAGGTGGAAGAGCGGCAGAGGATGCTTGAAGAAGAGAGGAAGAAGAGGAAACAGTTTCAGGACTTGGGCAGGAAAATGTTGGGTTCGTTTTCCTACCTGCTATAGCCCTTAGGTGGGATGTGAAAGGGTGGGATGGCATTACAGTGTCACTCAGGAGAGCTAGAAACTGGTTTGTTCTGGAGTTTGGAAAAGGAAAGGATGGGGGAAGTTTATGAGAAAAGCATCTTTCCATTACAATTCCATTTCCCTTGTATCATAAATCTCCCTTTTTTTCTCATTTGGTGCTTATTGTCTGGATCACTCCATGCTCTCTTTTTTCTTCTGCTGAGCTCTTCTGCAGCTTTGTTTTCTTTGGTCTGCAGAAGACCCTCAGGAACGGGAACGTCGGGAACGCAGGGAGAGGATGGAGCGGGAGACCAATGGAAATGAGGATGAGGAAGGGCGGCAGAAGATCCGAGAGGAGAAGGACAAGAGCAAGGAACTGCATGCCATTAAGGTGCAGGCCTTGGCTCTGTCTTCACTTGCCCCACATGCAAAGATGAGGTTCATTACGCTGCCATTCTCATCTCTGCATGCGAGCTTTGGGCCTTGAGCTTGACGTGCCCTGTGTTCTGTCTGTGGACAGGAGCGTTACCTGGGTGGCATTAAGAAGCGTCGCCGAACGAGGCACCTTAATGACCGCAAGTTTGTCTTTGAATGGGATGCCTCTGAGGACACATCCATTGACTACAACCCACTGTGAGTGGCTTCAGGCCTAAACTAGATCTTTTTTTAATTACAGTTGACATTCAATATTATATAATTATCAGGTGTACAGCAAAGTGTTAGCCATTTATATAACTTACGAAGTGATCCCCCAATAAGTCTAGTACCCCGCTGACATCAAACATAGTCGTTACAATAATACTGACTGTGTTCCCGTGCTGTACTGTACGTCCCGTGACTCTCTGGTGACCACCGGTCTGTACTTCTCAGTCCCTTCACCTCCCATACCGTCCCTCCCAACCCCTTCCATCCGGCAGTCATCACCTTGTTCTCTGTGTCTGTGAGTCTGTGGCTGTTTTGTTTTGTTCATTTATTTTGTTTTTTAGATTCCACACGTAAATGAAATCATATGGTATTTGTCTTTCTCTGTCTGACTTACTTTGCTTAGCCTAACACCTCGGTCCATCCATGTTTTGCAAATGGTATGATTTCATTCTTTTTTACGGCTGAGTAATATCCCATTGCATAAATGTCCCCCGTCTTCTTTACACAGTCATCTGTTGGTGGATACTTAGGTTGCTTGCATATGTTGGCTGTTGTAAATAATGCTACAGTGAAGATAGGGTTGTGTGTATCTCTTCCAGTTAGTGTTTTGTATGTCTTTGGATGCATACTCAGAGGTGGGATTGCTGGGTCATATGGTAGTTTTATTTTTAATTTTTTGAGGAACCTTCAAACTGTTTTCCATAGTGGCTACATCAATTTGCAATACCACCAACAGTGCGTGAGGGTTTCCTTTTGTCTACATCTTCCCCGATACTTGTTTATTTTTTGATCATAGCCATCCTGACAGGTGTGAGGTGATAGCTCATTGTGGTTTTGATTTGCATCTCTCTGATGACTAGTGATGTTGAGCATCTTTCTGTATGTCTGTTGGCTGTCTCTATGTCCTCTTTGGAGAAGTCTAGTCAGGTCCTCTGCCCTTTTTTTTACTCACATTGATGGGGTTTTTTGGGTGTTAAGTTATATGAGTTTATTAATATATTTTGGATATTAACCCCTTATTGGATATCTTGTTGGTGAATATCTTCTTCCATTCAGTAGGTTGTCTAAACTAGGTCTTTTAAACTAGGCAGTTCCTAGAGAGAACCAAAGACTACCGAAATAGAAGTAAGATAAGCTGGGATGGGGAAATTGATAAACTGGTAGTCAGCCAGTCCTCTGGGTGGGGGAAACTGATACACATTGGTAGTCTACCCTTCCCTCCTGCTGTAATAGCTCCTTTTTTAAAAAAAGTTTATTTATTTTTAGAGAGAAGGGGAGGGAGGGAGAAACAGGGAAGGAAACATTGATCGGTTGCCTCTCACATGCCTCCAGTGGGGGACCTGGCCTGCAATCCAGGCATGTGCCCTGACCGGGAATTGAACTGGTGGCCTTCAGGTTTGTAGGCTGGCACTGAATCCACTGAGCCACACGAGCCAGGGCTACAGCTCCATTTTTTTTTCCTTCCTTTGTCTCAATTTCAGGTACAAAGAGCGGCACCAGGTACAGTTGCTGGGGCGAGGCTTCATTGCAGGCATTGACTTAAAGCAGCAGAAACGAGAGCAGTCACGTTTCTACGGAGATCTAATGGAGAAGAGGCGGACACTGGAAGAAAAGGAACAGGAGGAGTGAGTGGTCAGGGTCAGGTGGTCGGGCAGAGCCCAGAGTGTGTGGAAAGGAACTGGGGAATTCCTTATTTCTGCGATCCTGCTCCAGGGCAAGACTCCGCAAACTTCGTAAGAAGGAAGCCAAGCAGCGCTGGGATGATCGTCACTGGTCCCAGAAGAAGCTAGATGAGATGACAGATAGGGACTGGCGGATATTCCGGGAGGACTACAGCATCACCACCAAAGGCGGCAAGATCCCTAATCCCATCCGATCCTGGAAAGACTCTTCTCTGCCCCCACATATCTTGGAGGTCATCGATAAATGTGGCTACAAGGTAAGGGGGTTCAGGTTGGTTCACAAGACCAGACTTGGTTCCTTGACTGTTGGTACCTTCTCTGCCAGGGGCACCAAGGTGACATTGTCTATTTCTTTGTGGTGGCAGTATTGGCCTTTAGTGATTGTGTTTCTTCTTATTCCTGTGAACAGTGATTGGGGTCTTCCCATTGTGCTAGCACGTGTACCCACTCCGTCAGTGGTGGCCCGGGTGGTCTATAATTCTGCCTTTACCCATTGCTCTCTCTGGGCCACTGCAGGAGCCAACACCTATCCAGCGTCAGGCAATTCCCATTGGGCTGCAGAATCGTGACATCATTGGCGTGGCTGAGACTGGCAGTGGCAAGACAGCAGCCTTCCTCATCCCGTTGCTCGTCTGGATCACCACTCTTCCCAAAATTGACAGGTGGGGTCACCTGATACAGGTTGGAGTGGGTTTGACTAGGTAGGAGTATTGAAAGTGGCAAATGAGTGTTTGGTTTTCTTTTGAAGTCTGTAATCAGGAGCCCTTCTGTAGTCGGGGTCAGATATTAGAGAATAACTGGATCATAATATCAAAGAAGTGTATGATTTTGTTGCTTGCAGGGACCACTCCCTGGGGAACTTGGCTCTCCTGGAGTCTCTGATTTTTAAGGGAGATCGTTGCACCCTCTTCCCACCACCCTCTGCATTCCCATGGCCGTCCTTAAGTGTGACTTGGTCTTACTCCTGTTTGCGGTCGGATGGGAAGCAAAGCTCATGAAACTGTGGGATGCCCCATTTACCACAGGATCGAAGAGTCAGACCAGGGCCCGTATGCCATCATCCTGGCCCCCACCCGTGAGCTGGCTCAGCAGATTGAGGAAGAGACCATCAAGTTTGGGAAGCCACTAGGCATCCGCACTGTGGCTGTCATTGGCGGCATCTCCAGAGAGGACCAGGGTTTCAGGCTGCGCATGGGTTGTGAGGTTTGTTCACCTGGCCGGCAGCCAGCCCGCCGTTCGGGCTGTTCTGTTTTGGGGCTCTGTTTCTAGTTTCTGCCTCAGACATTCAGTCAGCTGAAGAAAAGGGCTGGTTTATGCAGATGAGCTATTGTTTTTGAGAACTTTTACACCAGGGATTGTACCGTGCACATCATTAGTCCTCACAGTTATATGAGAGTGGACAGGGGACTCTCCACTTTACAGGTGGAGCTGAGGACCAGGTTAATGACTTGTCCAGGGTCAGACACAGCTGGCAGTGGGCAGGACTGAGATCATATTCACACCCTGTGCTCTCCATCGCTCTGCCAGTCCGAATCGTTGACTTTGTGTGTCACTGCCTTTCCAGGGTGGGGGAGGAGAGCTTTGTATAAGAAGTCTGATACAGGGGTTGGGTTTTCTGCAGCCTTCTTAGTGTAATCATTTTACACAGCTCCCTCCACAATATTCCTTCGTCTGTCTTCTAAGAAAGTTCCTTTTGATTTGCCTCCTCCTTTAAGTCCTGTATCATATTCAGAGACCCCGTTTATTCCTGAAAAAAAAATCCAAGATAGCAACAAATGATTTTGTGTCAGTTCTCGAGACCCTTCACTGCCAAACGTAACTAGACGCTGGGATCCGAGCTCCTTAGCATCAGGGTTCTGTTGTCCAAGTGGGTGGATCGTCCACAGAAGAGAGAAGAAGGGGGTACCCGCTGGGGCTACATATGATTCCACTCTACCCCCAGATTGTGATCGCTACCCCAGGACGTCTGATTGATGTGCTGGAGAACCGCTACCTGGTGCTGAGCCGCTGTACCTACGTGGTTCTGGACGAGGCAGATAGAATGATTGACATGGGCTTTGAGCCAGACGTCCAGAAGATCCTGGAGCACATGCCTGTCAGTAACCAGAAGCCGGACACGGATGAGGCTGAGGACCCCGAGAAGATGTTGGCCAACTTTGAGTCAGGAAAACATAAGTACCGCCAAGTAAGGCTGCTTCCCTGGGCCGGGAAGAGTCGGGCAGGCTGGTAAACCTGCTTTAGGGTCCCCCTTGCAGTAGGTGGTCCCAAAGTACGTGTTTGCAGAATAGTGGGGCCTGCCTAGGTGCAATCTTCTGACATTCCTAACAGTGTAACCATTTAGCTTAGCCCTGGAAAAGTGGTCCCAGACAGTCACGGTACTGCCTATCACAGATGCTAATGAGTGCTCAGCCCTTCCTGTTGTCACGAGATGTCAGGTACAGGTACTGAGGAAAGTGGGACAGCAAAGGACACATTCCCAGGTGGTGGCTGTGAGAGTTCACACTGTGGCTCACTGTAGATTCTCAGTTTGGGCTGTGCTGCCTACGGTGGTGGGGGGACGTGTGAGTGTGTCTTCCTGGGCCCGAGGCTGAGCCTCCTGTTTTCACAGACGGTCATGTTCACGGCCACCATGCCCCCCGCCGTGGAGCGCCTGGCCCGGAGCTACCTGCGGCGGCCTGCTGTGGTGTACATTGGCTCTGCGGGCAAGCCCCATGAGCGCGTGGAGCAGAAGGTCTTCCTCATGTCGGAGTCAGAGAAGAGGTACGGGGGCAGCTGAGCTGGGGAGGCGGCGGAGAGGGGGCTTTTTCAGGGTGAGTGGCTGCTGGAGGGCGATTGTTCTGCCTTGTTGAAGAGCTGCTGTTTCCTTTCTCTCCTCTCCCCAGGAAAAAGCTGCTGGCGATCTTGGAGCAAGGCTTTGATCCACCCATCATCATTTTTGTCAACCAGAAGAAGGGTTGTGATGTTTTGGCCAAATCCCTGGAGAAGATGGGGGTGCGTCTGGCAGGGAAGGGCAGAGTCTGTTCTCTTTGGCACTGCTTTCTGAAATTAGAGGGGGCCCTTAGGTCCCTGCTTTAAATTTTCACCCGTTTTTGAACTCCAGTGTTGAACAAGTCAGGGCTAGAGGGAAAGGAGAGATTTGGTGGAGATAAGGAGGACTGGGTTGGTCCCTATGACTATCTGTCCCAGCAGTGGCAGCTGGAGTTCTGCCCTTGGGTCTTCCTCCGAGTGGCCTGGGGCCAGGGAGAGGTTTGAGACGCGCATCCTGGCAGGATCTGAGGATGAGGAATAGAACGGGTTGGAGTTTGTTGTGTTTGTGTATGTTTGGGAGAGGATGTTGTGGTCTGGAGGGAGGTGTGGATCAATATCCTTTACTCCTGACTGGTATTTGAGGGTCCTCTCTACCCAGTGCTTAAACTTCCTTGAACTTCCTGGTCCCTGCTTTCCACCCTCATCCTCTCTGATGACTTCTCATGTGTCTGGCTCCACATGTCACTCCTCATTTACCTTTGACCTTGCCCTGGCTCTCTCTGCCATGCCACATCTGGTCTCCCACCCTTTCTTCAGCTCACCTGTTCTCCCCATACCTTCATTGCACTCATTGTTTCTCCTGCCTCCTGCCCCTTCTTCCCTGTTGCTCTCTGAAACCTGCCCTCTCTGTCCCTGCTTCCTCTTAACTTCTGTGTCTTTCCGCAATCCCATTGCACTTTCTCTGTCTCACCATTCTCCCAACAGTACAACGCTTGTACGCTGCATGGTGGGAAAGGCCAGGAACAGCGAGAGTTCGCGCTGTCCAACCTCAAGGCTGGGGCCAAGGACATCTTGGTGGCTACAGATGTGGCGGGCCGTGGTATCGACATCCAAGATGTGTCTATGGTGGTCAACTATGATATGGCCAAAAACATTGAAGGTAAGTGGAAGGAAAGCTGCTGCAGTCTGGGTGAAGGGAGACTCCCTGTCTCTCTCCACGTGAAGTCAGGGTGCTGGGCCGAGGAGGCTGCCGCCGCCACGGCTCACAGCTCTGAGTCTAGGATCGCTTGTCCCAGTGAGAAGAGCTCCCACTCTGTCTCATAGGGTGTGTTGTCCTGAACCTGGGATAGCTCTCTAGTCTTCAGAGTGTGGGAAAGAATGGAAGTAGGCCCCTCTCGGTCTGTGTGGTAGGGGCACCCCGTTAGTAGTGGTCATGGGGAGAGCACTGTGGGCGCTGCAGGCTCAGGTAGCAGGGGTTCTACCTGCTGCTCATGGAGGGGTGAGGAAGAGGACACCTTCAAAGTAGAGGCTTCAGACACTGCTCACCAAGCCATCTGGCTGGGTGCCCTGAGTGACATCGCTCCCCTACCCTTTGCCCAGATTACATCCACCGCATTGGCCGCACGGGACGAGCTGGCAAGAGTGGTGTGGCTATCACCTTCCTCACCAAAGAGGATTCTGCTGTGTTCTATGAGCTGAAGCAAGCCATCCTGGAGAGCCCAGTGTCCTCCTGCCCCCCAGAGCTAGCCAACCATCCAGATGCCCAGCACAAGCCAGGCACTATCCTCACCAAGAAGCGCCGGGAAGAGACCATCTTTGCCTGACACAGGACTCATTCCACGGGTTTAAGGGCAGGCTCCGAAGCCTGTTCTTTAGGACCCTCACAGTCCTCTTTCCAGGTCCTCACTCTCATGGGGGCTTAGGAAACAGACTTCTTGACCTGGACCCTCCAGTTTGAAGGTGTGAGTGTGGGGCTGCGAGAGGAGGAAAGCCCTGCAGGAGGCAGGGAGAACAAATTACCACGGATTTTGGCCCATCTCTGCCCCTCTGGCAGGCACCGGGATTGCATTGGGTCATTGGCTCTTGCCAGTTACAGGGCAGCCAACTGGCATTGCCCCCTCGGCTGAAGAGAAGCCTGCCACCAGGCGGGCACCGCCGCAGCACAGGCTGGACTGCGTGAGCAGCAGCAGCGCTCTCACCCTGGGTGACCCAGGGGCTCTGGCACTGTGGGGGTCGTGGACCTTGGACCCTTACTGCCATTTTGATAGCATTTGCCTTTTGGGATTATAAGACAAATAGAGAGCCTTGTTTATAGAGCTGTGCACGGCCTCCGTGTCAAGGGGTGCTGTGCACTCCAAGCATCCCTCACCCAGGAGTATTTTTTAGATGTGGGACAGGGGTGAGCTGGCTGTGTCTGTCTTGAAGTCGCTGAGTGAAACTTGTTTTCTATTCTCTGAAAAGATGAGTTTGTATGTTCTGAGAATAAATACATGAATATTAAGGCTGTGTCTAGTTCTAGCTAAATTTATCTCTCGTGTGCTCCCTGGAACCACAGAAAACAGGTTTAGGAATGAAAAACAAAACAAAACAAAACAAACACCCATCCAGAGCAGAGCCTAGGGTCTCAGCTGATGGTCCTAGGAGGCCCTTGGCAGGAGGCAGAAAAACCATGGAGAATAGCACCCTAATGCTTTCTCCCTCCCCTTCTCCAGCCTCATGTAACTGTAGCTCTGACCTGCACACCCTCTGGGGAGCTTTGCATGGGTGAGGAAGGAAAGCAGTTGTGAAACTGGTGGGTGCAGCACCGTTGGGCCACTCTCATGCCCGGTGCTCTGTGCCTGACCCCAATCTCCAGTCCCTTCGCTTCTCGCTCCCCAGTGCAGAGGGTGGAGATGGGGTGCGAGTTGCATCAGGGAGTGGGGAGCTGGGCTGGCCGAGGTAGGTTGTGGGGAGAAGGCTGCAGGCCAGGTCTCCCACGAGCTCCCCTCTTTAGGTTCTTCCTTACCCCGTGATGTGGTGGGCAAGTAGCAATTTGTTGGGCAAGTATGTGGAGTTTAAATTGCAACTAGTAGGGCCTGATGCGGGGACAGTGGAAAGCCAAGGTTAAGCCTCTTCCCCACCTCTTAGAACAAATCTTTTCTGTGTAGCTGAATGTTGCCCTCCAGGCACCTGGGCGTGAGGGGTACTCCTGGGGGTGCCCGGGAGCATGGTTTCTTCCCCAGCTCTCCCGTTGCCCTTTCCACTCAGTGGGTCCTTTGTGAGAGAATGGAGGCCAGGAGACTTCTTGGCCTCCTCCAGACTCGGGCCACACAGTGAGGAACCAGCCACCTGAGCCAGCAGACAGAACAGAAGCCTGAGGGACTGTGCATGGTGTTTATTAGTGATGACAGTGAGTGGGGGCAGGGTCTCGTGGAGCATGCTCTGTAGGTCACACACTAGAGCCATAAGGCAAGGGTAGCTGGGTAGACAGGGCTTCTGAGGGCTGTCCACTGTGTCCTGTCTCTCCCCATCTAACCCTAATGTAACAAGCAGCAATGAATGAGGGAGTAAATCTGGGGCTCATATGCCCCAGGAGGCATGAGGGCCAAGAAATGACAAGATGCAAGAGCAAAAGGATGAGGGGGGCAAAGAGGCCCCAAAGCTGTTCCATACAGTCTTTGCTACACATGCCCTCCCCAAAACCCAACTCAGGTGGGCTGCTGTCCACCATTTGGCTTGACCATGCTCCTGGGGCCCGGTCCTCTGAGATGTTAGGAACATTCCTGGCAGGGTGAGGAGAGCCCTTCCTTTCCAGAGGTTCAGCTGCCAGGCCTTTGGCCCCAGCCCAGCCTGCCTGCTGCTCCAGCCTTGCACGCGGTGCCCCGCCCAGCTGAAGGACAGGTGTGACACGCAGTTGGGCTGTGATTGTCTCTTCTCTGGTGTGTGGCAGTGAGGTGAGCAGAGGCCCTCGGACCCCAAAGCATAACCCCTGAGTCCATTGACTGTTAGGATTTGTGTCTACCTCAGGGGCCTTGTTTCTTCCTCAGGCCCTGTTACCCACACCGCAGCCTCTTCTCACTTGGAGGGGACATCCCTTCCCTGAGTCTGGTGGGAAGGTCCCTGCTAAGGGGATCCTGGCCTGAGGGCACTGCCCAGTGGGGCAGCTTCTTGTGCAGGAGGAGAGGAAGGTGCCAGGGGAGCAGCACACACAGCTAGTACCTGGAATGGGAGCCTAGGGGAGTCACTGCCCAGGAGGTAAGGGGGCCCCCAGCTTTTCCCAGAACCTTGGAACCACAGGCAGCTCTGGGGCTGGGCAGGGGGCTGTGGGGGCTGAGCCTAGTGCCAGCCTAATGCCAGTCTAACGCCAGCCTGCCTGAAGTGGGTGCCCCAGCCAGCTGTGCCTGTGCCTGCCAGGGTAGGGCAGCAGGAGGCGGTCAGTAGCTATCCTTGGCCCAGGGCCGGTTGCGCTGCCAGTTCCGGTCATTGTGGTTGTGCTCCGAGTCCTGGGCGAGGAGCCGGTCTTGGGGGTCATGCCCATTAGCACTAGGCAGCCCAGAGGTGTGTTGGCGGTGAGGCTGGTACAGGTCCTGGTAGGCGTCTGCATAGTCCTCCTCCAGGTGGTGGGAGCTGCGCTGCGAGGATTCTGTCCAGGCTTGGCGGGAGCTCTCGCTGGCCTCGTCGGAGGGCATCAAGCTGTCCCGCTCGAGGGGGGAGTGCTCCTCACCACGCTCCCCCAACAGCTGCTGGTTCTGGGTTAACACAGCAGCTCTCAGTGAGGCAGTATGGACCCCACCTCGGCCTCCCTCCCACCTCTACTAGGATGGGGGATTCTTCTCCTCAACCCTCAGTTCCTGGGTAGAGGAAACAGTGCAAGAAAGGGAAGTATATTGGTATATTCTTCCTCTTAAAATAAAACTATTGCTTTCAACTCCTGCAAAATTCAGGCTCTGCCTTCAAGACCAGAGAAAAGTTTGAGAGTGTGTTTGTTTTCAGCTCTGGAAAAGTAGCCTCTGATAGCCCATCGTAAGGATCTACCCCCTCTCTCATCAGGAAGTTTCTTAGCCCATCTGCCCAGCTCTGTCAAGCAGAGCTGAGTTCTCCGGTCCTCTGGCCTTCAAACTGGAGGCCAAGTACAGCCTTTGGGCAGGGTTAGGGTTAAGCTGGCTTAGCCTAAGCAGCAGTGGCCAGTGGAAATGATTACCTGAAGTCCAGGGATGGCGCTGGGAGGGCCCAGACGCCCAGGGCTGGGGGCCGGGTGGTGTGTGGCCCGCCAGTAAACCTCCAAGTACTCAGCTAGGTGCTCACAGGCATCCTCCAGCTGGTTCTCATCCAGAATCACATCGAATGACTCCTGGGCAGGGAAGGAACGGGGGAATGTGGGCTTCCTCCAAGCAGCAGTAGCCCACACCGTCATTGCCCCAGCACTGGGAAAGCAAGAGCGGGCACAGGAGCACCCAACCCAGGCACTCACCGGCGGGCACTGAACCAGCTTATCATAAGCCATCATCTGCACAGTCAGGTGCTTCATCTGTGATTTTCCTCGGGAGCGGATGAGTCTCTGGAGTACCTGAGGGGGAAGGGCGGGGCGGGGCCTGGAGTCTTGGGGACTCCCGCAGAGCTGAACTTAACAAGAACTGGGCACCAGGAAAAGGGAACACAGGGGCTCTGGGGCAGGGGCCACACTGAGTGGGGCACATTCTGGGAGGGCAGCCCTGGGGACCTCGTCTGCCCACCTTTGGTGAGGATACTTTGACGAACACGATGATGGGGGCCAGCGAGGTCTTGGCCAGCTGTGCCGGGTGGTTGATGGTGTCGGCATCCAACACTACCAGCTGCAGAGATTTGGCCAGCTCGAATATGCGCTCAATCTCGCTCTGTACTTCGGCTAGGGAGGGAGCAAGCGGGCCACAGTGCTCACCAGCGGCTCCACCCACTTCCTCCTCCAATGGGGCTTGGGGGGCTCCCCAATGGTGGAAGGGAAGGAAATAAAAAGAGAGGGTGTTCATCAAGGCCTGGGGAGGCAGGAGAACAGGGAACTGAGGAGACGGGGTGTGTTCCTGCCAATCCTGGGGCGGCAGAGCAGGTCTCGGGGAAGGGGGAGGGAGGACGGAGGTGCTCACGAAGGCCTGGGTGAGCAGAGAAGCAGGAGCTGGGGGCTTCTCACCAATGCTGGAGCGGGCGGAGGAGCGCTCAATGATGGTCCTCTTGCCAGGATTGTTGAGCACAGACCGCTTGGCCAGTGAGAGGTCCGCTGTGACCCGGGTGATGGAGATCCTGGGGTAGTGGCAGAGAATCACAGCTCACTTTCAAATTTCAAGCTCTAGGCCCAGGACTTCCTAAATTCTAACTGTTCCTTTAGAAAAGACCTTGCTACAGGCATCTGGTAGGAGACAGCAATGTTCTCCTTGGTCCTCACACCACCCCGTGCCAATGCAGCTTACCTGCCATCAAACCTATGTTTGAGGAAGTCGAAGAGAGCCTTCTGCATCATGTCTGTGACCTGGGTGGGCGGAAGGGAATGGAACTGACTGAGGGCTCTCTTGGAGAGTGGCAGCATCCCCAGGTACAGCCCCGGAGCCCACCCCCTCCACACACGGGGGTAGTGTGGGGGAGAACAGCCCCTGTCCCTGGGGCCTTCCCATGGCAGGCTTGGTAGATGGGACTCTGAGGTCAAAAACTTCCTCTCACCTCATAACCTTTCAGAGAGGGCCCCACCAGCACCACAGGCCGCATGGAGGGCACCACATCATATGGGGGAATGTGTTCTGCCTGCAAAATGGACCTGAGGTCAGGCAAAGCCATGGCCCTGTGGCTTGCCCGATGCGTGACAGGTGTGGGGCAGGTTCAGAAGTTCTGCGCCCCCTCCCCCGTGCTGCTGCCCCTCCACAATGACTGCCGAGAAGCCTGTTCCCACAGCCATGAGCCGCGAGCCCCCAAGCCCCGGTCCCTTCCTTGACTCACCTGCTTTTGCTTCTGCTTGGCTTTTAGAAAAGGAAATAAAAGATTAAAGTTGGTGAAGGGGGAAGAGGCCCTGTGGGCATGTATTCCCTTCCCTGTGGGGGAGACACTGGGCTTCTCTCCGCTCTTCTGACCCTTCCCTTTCCACCGACCCCTTCCTGCACGGTTCACTTGGGGACACTCTTCCTGCCCCTGTGTCTTAGTGACCCACCTACCCAAGACAGGTGGGTTAGGGGGAGGCTACCTAGAGATGGAGGAGGGGAGCGTCGGTTGCCAATGTCGCTGAGGCTGGAGGGGTTCCCGGATCTCCTGAGAGCAGAAAGGGAGGTCAGTATGTGCCTTTGTGTGTCTGTGTTCTACATGTTACTTAACAGTTGTGTTTTCTTACATTTTAGCAAGTGAGGAAGGTGTGACAAGTGCATTTGTAAATGTGTGTGTGTGCAGTGTAAATGCGTGTACCTGGTATGAGGGTATTTGGGGGGTGGCACATGCGTGCATGCACAGTGAACTATGGGTAAAGTGCCCACGTTTGCGGGGGGGATGTTTATTGAGTCACAGCCCTGC